GACATCGTTGGCGCACATGTACAAGTAGACCTGGTTGTCGCACGCAATGCCCCAGCAACACTGCGTGGCTGCGCTGACCCGCTTGAACTCCAGCTGGGCATCCTTGCACAGTTCCCAGTACTGGCCGGCCGTGGACAGAGTGTATACTCTCCCAAAGAGGTCCACCGCCCACAGCACTGAAGTGGGCATGGTGTCGGCGGCTGGAGGAAAACCGGTGGCAAAAGAGAGAGTGTCAGTGTCCTGGTCCCCAGTCCAGGCAGGACCTGGGAGCCCTCAACAGATGGCCTCGTGCCACAGATGGCTCCATGAGGCGCAGGGAGGAGTTGGTGTTCACCCCACAGATCAGAAGCAGAGCCCCGCTTCCAGCGTGGACCGGTTTTTTCTTTCTTTGCCTTTTCTTCCTTTTCATTATGAGGATTTTTTTTTCAAACAGACAGAAAAGTATAAGAAAAAAATATGTAATATCCATGTGCGTACGTCCCCAAATCAAGACCCTTTCCAGTTCTGTTACAGTCTCTTCAGAAACTATATTCTTTCAAAAGAATAAATGAAGTGTATAGATTTGGTGGAATCCTGTCCTCCCCTGAGCTGCTCTCATTGTGACACTCCTATCTGGGTTTGGTGAAGGGTGTCCACACAGCCTGGCTATCCTAGCCAGAGCTGTGCGGGGTCCTCAACAATGTCGTCATCCATCCTGTGCCTGTATCATCTGACTGAATTCTCACAAGGTAAGAAGGTCACTATGTTCCTACTCTTCCGCCAGAATTCAGGTCCTGGGTCCGTCACTTTCTAGTGGCATCGAAAGCTAACATGTCCATGCCTGGACTTGCCAATGTTTAGGTCAGTGCTAATGGGTAGGGGCCAGGTGACTCTGTGAACTCTAGGACCCAAAGGTCCTCTCTTACCCTCCTTTTCTTCCTTTCTTCTTCTGCCACTCTCCACCCCTTTCCTCTCTTTCTTTCTTTTTTTAAAGGAGGAAAGATGTTTTGGCTCATGGTTTCAAAAGTGCAGTCCACTTAGAAGAAGTGATGGCCACTCAGAAGTTGGCCATGTCCATAGCTCTGGGCCCCAGGTGAGACAGAAATCATGGTGGAAGGGTGTGGCAAAAGAAAGCAGCCCAGAATAAGACAGCCAGGAAGCAGAGAGCTCTGTTTGGGGTGGCCAAGATCTGCCACTGACTGTCCCCCCACCCCTTGGCTGCTGCTCCTGGGGGTAATTCCTGGAGTTCTAGCTTCTGGCAGGAGCAGGCTTCCTCCTACCAGGGCCACAGAGCCAGAGCAGTGCAGCCAAACATGCAGTGAGGGGCTGAGGCCTGAGGGTAGTAGGGAGTCACCACAAAGGGCCCTGTCTGACTGGGTGGCTCCCAGATCCAACCAGGGAACACTGTCCTCAGGCCAGGAGAGAGAAAAGCCAAAGACAAGCTTACCTCCCATGGGGTTTGGAAACTGGAGCTATGAGGAGACAGGTTTATTTAGGTGGTCAAGGCTGGGCCCTGCTGTCCCACCCCTACAGCATGCCAGAGGCACCCCCATTGTAGAGATGCCTGGAGATAGGACATGCTGAAACAGGAGCATCTGCCGTGGGCAACACAGGCTCTTCTGGAACACAGTGGGTCTGACAAACACGAAGAAGAGTGAAGGTTGAGAAGGAAGTGATGGAGGGGATATGGAACAGGAAATGGGAGGCAGAACAGAAGCCAAGTTCCTGGAAACACCCATGACAGGAAGTAGATGCAGAGCTCAGGAAAGGGACTGATCAGCCTTGCGAAGCAAGCCTGGGGAGACAGAGCTGACCCATAGAACTGCCGACCTCCTCAAGCCCAGGGGCGCCAGTGTCTGCCAGACACACAAACAAATCAGAACACCAGCCCTCTGGAGCCAGCTGAAAACTGTGTTGGTGTCCAGATGCCTGAGTCAGGACCCATGGTGGCCCCAGGCCACCTCACCCTTCCTCCTTGGTCAGGCAGGAAGGTTCTCTCTGATACCTTTACAATGACTAAGAAGAGTGTTCAGAACTGCCTGCACCCAGATGGCCAGGATTCGGGTCCTCACTCCATTATTTTCTAGTACCAAAAAAGTTACCTAACCTGCCTGCAACTTGATTTGCTAATGCAGAAAAGTCAGAAAGGAATAGTGACCTACTTACCTTGTGAGAATTACATACAGGCACAACGTGGATGATCAACATCATTCAGTGCCCAGCAAGAACTCAACAGTGTTACTAATATCATCTTATTACTTGGCATTTACTACCACAAACTGCCACTTATCTCTCATCTCATTTAAAAAATAAAAAAAAATCAAGTTCCTTTCCAGTGGGCCTGAGCCTTGGGCCTCTTCTCTTTCTCTATCAGCACTTTAGAGGGTGGGTGTTCAACCGTTTAATGATAAACGCCTCCACCTACCTCTAATATAGACTGCCAACTCCCTGAGCCTAGACAAAACTACTCTAGGAAAGCAAAGTACTTAAAAAGTAAAGTCACAGCTGAACACAGTGGCTCCTGCCTATATTCCCAGTGTTTCGGGAGGCTGAGGCAGGAGGATCACAAGTTCAAAGCCAACCTCAGCAACTGAGTGAGACAGTGTCTCAAAATAAAAAATAAAAAGGGCTGGGGATGTGGCTCAGTGGTTAAGCGCCTATGGGTTCAATTCCTGGTACCGTAAATAAATAAATAGTAAGGTCACAATTGGTGGGCAGACATGCAATAGAGCAAGTAAAGGGTCAACAGTATAATGAATAAGACGTGGGTATGGGGACATTCACTGTTTAATTCTTTCAATTTGGCTATATATTTGAAAATCTTCATCACAAAATGTTGGTAAAAAGTTTATTTTAAAACTGTCAGTTTCAGCCGTGCGCGGCACATGCCTGTTATCCCAGAGGCTTGGGAAGCTGACACAGGAGAGGAGAATCTCGAGTTCAAAGCCAGCCTCAGTAATTGCAAGGCATTAAGCAATTCAGTGAGACTCTGTCTCTAAATAAAATACAAAACAGGGATGGGGATGTGGTTCAGTGGTCGAGTACCCCTGAACTCAATCCCCAGTACCAAAAAAAAAAAAAAAGTCAGTTTCAGTGTGTACAATTATTATGCACCAATAAAAAATTTTTAAAAAATAAATAAAATAGTAAGGGGGAAATGGAAAAATATCAGTTTCTATGGTGTCATTTTAACACAATTTTGTTTGCAAAGATAGCTCACAATTCAACATGTAAGCAACCAGCCAAGTCAGACTGAGTCTGCAGGTGAAGCTCAAAGAACAGAGACTTTGACTTGTGTTTGATATACTTTCCTTTAGATAAATGACTAAGCAGTAATTTCCTTCCAGGCATAATTGAACCTTATGGGCAGTTAATGGAAGAATACTTCGCTGCAGATAAAAGAAAGAGTGGGGGTTGTGTTTACAAACTCCCTTCTAAATGGAGACCCAGACAGCAGTCACTACCCAGCTAAAGTTGACATGGGGTAAATATCCTTGGTCAGCCACACCTCCTTTCTGCCTCTGTCAATTGTTTCTAGCACCCCCAACTCCTCACATGCTACTTTCTGGCTGTGAGATGCCCAGGCAACCTGTCCTGAGTCATGGGGTCCTTGAAGGGGATTTGGAGCAGTTACCATTCTGAAATCCTGGGGCATCTTTGTTTTGTAGAAGTGGAGCAATGGAGTGCATATCTACCCAAGAAGCAGCCTTCAACTCACCAAGAACTACAAAATGAATTTGAGCTAGACCTTCAGTCAGTCTGCACCCTCAAAGCCATCTGCTTTTCTGTCTCAGTTTATACACAGGTGGCTTCAGAGACCCAAAAGTACCCAAGGCAATTGGGGGTAGAAGTGATCGAAGAAGGGACACAAAACAAGAAAGATCTCCATGCATTCACCTCTTCTGAAGCTGCCTTAGGAGCCTTCCTGAAGAGTTTCCTGCTTATTTTTTTCTGTTAAATTGACACTCTAACTTGGTGCGTACTGGGCTACCAATGCAGTTTGCTGGTTGCCAAGCGCAGAGACTGCTCAAAAGTGATATCAGGGTCCAAAAAGGTGGGAGGAAGCAACAGAACTCTCATTGTTCCTGAAGAACAGGGTCCACCCAGCTCCACCAGGCAGGTGGTGCCCTGAGTCGGCCTGGCTTTCATCCCATTTCCTGCACTTAAACGACAGGTGGTCCCCTGCACTGCCACCAGTAGCATATGTTGGGAAGCAGGGCCCTGACCATCTGCCCAGTTAATCCCATCACAAGCAGATTTGCTCCCACTGCTGCCCAGGGAGAAGGTTAGACAGGCCCCTAGAAGCTCCATTCTCTAAAACCGCGAGGCTCCAGCAATCTCTTTCCCAAATCACTCCAGTCCAAAGGCCGGAGTGGGGGCGTCCTCTGAAACTGCCCCTCGGCTGGCACCTCGGCATATCCCGAATTCCCCGCGCCGGGACAGGGCGGCGCCCTCCAGGTGTGCAGGAAAGAGCACAGGTACATCCCTCCCTCCCCTTCAAGGGTCCAGGCAAACGCAGCCGATGCGGGGTCGCAGCGGCCCGACTTTCCCCGAGGGGCCGGGACTCGAGTGCCCACGACCCTGCGCCACTGCGCTTACCTGGGCCGGCGCCCGGCCAGGGGGGTTCGCAGTGGATGCTCCGCGGCTGGGCTAGCGGGTCGGAGCTGCCCAGGCCGCAGGCGAGAGGGCGGGCCGGAAGCGGCGGCCAGGCCCGCACTCATTGGCCAATCTCGCCATGACGCACCGGCCTAGGAGCGCGCTATTGGCTGCTGCGCGCAGCCTGGAGCAGGTTTAGGGGTCGGAGGGTCGCGCGCTCTCTCTCTTCCGGGGTCGCGGCGGGTCGGTGCGGGCAGAGTCCACTCTAGCAAGCTCCAGGTCTACACCCGTGGGGGCTGACCGCCCGCCGCCTCCCCGGACCCTGCCGCAGGAGCGGAGCAGGCTGTGTGGACGCGGGGCCCGCAGGCGAGGAGAGGGGGCGGGTCGGGAGGGAGTCTGGGCGCACCCGCCGCAGGCACCGGAGGAGCGCCGCCGCGCCCGCGGGAGGAGGAGGAGGCTGGCAGCCGGTGACTGCGTGGGTTCCATGGAGCAGAAATGGAGCCCTCTAGCACACAGACTAAAGGCTTTACGCTGCAGGAGAGGAATCCTAAAAACGTGACCTTGGGACTATAGCATGTCGTGGTGTCAACATTAGGTCACTGTGTTGCTCAAACTGTGTTTCCAGTGACAATCTAATTAAAGCTAACATAGTTAATAATATTAACATGTGAGTGCTTCCTCTCCACAACTCAAAAAAGGTAGGTGTTGATGTTATTCCCATTTTAAAGATGAGGACACAAGCTCAGGGAATGACACACATTGTTTGTTTTTTTTTTTAATCAATTTATTTTTTTATTGGTTGTTCAAAACATTACATAGCTCTTGACATATCATATTTCATACATTTGATTCAAATGGGTTATGAACTCCCATTTTTACCTCACATCGGTTACACATCCACGTTTTTACATATTGCCAAACTAGTGACTGTTGTATTCTGCTGCCTTTCCTATCCTCTACTATCCCCCCTCCCCTTCCCTCCCCTCCCATCTTCTCTTTCTACCCCATCTACTGTAATTCATTTCTCTCCCTTGTTTTTTTTTTCCCCTTTCCCCTCACATCCTCTTATATGTAATTTTGTATAACAATGAGGGTCTCCTTCCATTTCCATGCAATTTCCCTCCCCTCTCCCTTTCCCTCCCACCTCTCCTCCCTGTTTAATGTTAATCTTTTTCTCATGCTCTTCCTCCCTGCTCTGTTCTTAGTTGGTTCTCCTTAGAGCAAAGAAGACATTTGGCATTTGTTTTTTAGGGATTGGCTAGCTTCACTTAGCATAATCTGCTCTAATGCCATCCATTTCCCTGCAAATGCCATGATTTTGTCATTTTTTAGTGCTGAGTAATACTCCATTGTGTATAAATGCCACTTTTTTTAATCCGGGAATGACACACATTGTAAATGGTGGACCCTGGGGATTTGAACCTACTGCATCTGGACTGGGAGGAAAATGCAGAATGAAAAAGGGGGATGTCTGGTTAAAAAAAAAAAAAGGCACAGCCTGACACCGTGGCTAAAACAGTGCCACTTAGATCTAGTTTCCCCTGTGCTAGAGTTTTCATCTGGAATGCCTCTCAAAGGCCCATGTGTTAAAGGGGTGGTCCCCCAGCTGGGGGCGGTAGGGAGGTGCGGCCTAGTGAGAGGTCTTCAGATAATTGACGTGTACTCTTAAAGGGAATAATGGAACCTCAGCCCCTTCTTCTTCCTCTGTTTTCACTTGTCAGGCATGAAGTGAGTGGGTTTGCTGCCTCACTGAAGCCAGATTTAAAGATAGGTAGTTAGTATAGTTAGGTAAATTGGTCTAATATTGAGTAAAGTAAAGAAAATGGAGGCCATTATTGAGAATGGAGTCCAGGAAATCAGAGCAGCACTTGGGGAAATTGAAATGTTAATGTCCCCAAGGCCCAGAACCCATCCTAAGAAACTGTTAATGAAACAGCTCCCAGCAAACAGGGAACTAATCCAAAAACTGCCCCAGGCCCTTCCTGCCCAGATTACTCCTCCAGCCCACTTATCTCCCACCTGTTGAGCCTTCCCACCTGCAGACTATCACTGCAGGATAAAGGGAAACAAAGGACTTGGATGTGGGGAAAGTAAAAGAAGACCTTAGCTATAAAAGAGGGAAGGCCTCCCCCTCCTTTCAGGTCCTCTTCTTCTGGGGAGAAGTCTTTTCTGCTGTCCTTTAATAAAGCTTTTACTTTCCACTCTACACTTGCCTCAGCATGCTTCTCTGGTGTTTTACTTCAGCATTCGGGGAAGCAAGGACTCCTCACTGGTAAATAGCAGTAACATCATCACAGGCTCCAAAGCAACAGGGCCAGTAGATCATGAAACCTCCCAAACTGAGCCAAAACCTTTTCTCTTTCTAAGTTAATTATCTTTGGTATTTGTTGCAGTAGTGGAAAGCTGAGGAACATATTCACTTGTCTGCCTTCTTGCTTCTTTCTGAGAATGCAGATTTTTCCCTGACAATCATGGCTGGGAAGCCCCAGACGGGCCAACTCCAGTGGAAGAGAAAGAAGGACCCTCCTCTTAACCCTGCATGTCTTTGTGGAGCCCTACATCTAACTGCGACCCTCTCTTAACACCTATGAAATTAGTATTTGTGGATTTCGTTGGGAGATTTGGGTAGACCCTGCCCAAAGTGTGAAGGCTCAAAGAGGCAAAGGGCTTCCTCAGAGGAAGCATAGCATACTATTAGCAGAAGAAGAATGAGTGGCCACTGTACTGCAGAAACATTAGTGTGGAGGAGGAGAGACCTGGATTCTATTGCCTGTGACACATCCATTTTTCCCCTTTGGTCTCAGTTTTCTTATTAAAAGAGGCATTGATGGGCTGGGGTTGAGGCTCGGGATGGGGTTGTGGCTCAGTGGTAGAGCGTTTGCCTAGCACGTGTGAGGCCCTGGGTTTGATCCTTAGCATCACATAAAAATAAATAAAATAAAGGTATTGTGTACATTTACCACTAAAAAAAAAAAATAATAAGATATTAAAAAAAAAAAAGAGGCATTGATTAGGTGCTCTTGATGGCTCCTTGCAGTGCTCATATACTGTGCCAGTTCCATACCAGTTTCCTTGAATTTAGGGTCTGATACAGCAGACCTGGGACCCCTGTCCTCTCTACCCCCCAGTTCTTTCATTTTGTGCAGATCTAGCTCCCTTCAATGGTCAGGAAGTCTATGTTTTTTGCCCTCACCACAAAGAATAATCCTCATTCCTATTTTGCTTTATTTTTACCTCTTTCATTTCTTGTTTCCTCTGTCTTAACCTTGCCACTTCTTTCCAGGCCAGACAGTGGGTTCAGATCCCAGCTCTGTCAGTGTGAATCACTCAGGCTGTGAACCTGAGTCCTGGCTTGTAAGTTAACGCTGTCACTTGCCTCTTTGGGTTGTTGGGAGGATGAAGTGGAAGGAATGCAGCATCCAGCACAGTATTATCATATCCTCTGCATATTTTGATTTAGGGTACTTGGCCATTTGCATCCTTGCTCACTGCTTAGAGTTCTAGAAACACTTGAGGAGCAACACAGGTAGAGGACTGTTTTCTGGATGAAAGACTTCTTGCATCTGTGTGTGGTGCTGGAGACATGGAGGGATGGCTAAGGATTGAGGGAGGAAGGGCTACTACACTGCCGAGATGGTTGCCTGTCAGCTCGGATCTTGCCCACCAGCTGACCCTCCTTGGTAGCCTCTTTTCTGCCAGTTCCCTGAGCTTTGAGGCCCCAGCTTCAGCAGAAGCTGGCCCTGCCCTGTTCTGAGTGTAGGCTTCCTACACAGAGCACCTACTGTCTGAGGTGTCCTACTCACCTTCTTTCTTCCTGATCATTCTCATTTAGCCTTCAAGTCTCAGGGCAAAGGTCAGCTCTTACCAGAGGGGAAAGTAGGCGTGCATTTTCATGCCCTCATAATTTGTACATTCTCCATTCTGGCCCTTCACATGATGTTATAATTGTTTTCTCTCCTGTTTCCCTGACCATGCTGTGAGATCTTTGAGAGAGTGATGTTTTCATACATATTCGAATGTCTAGGGCTTAATGATTGGCTAACCCATGACAGGTACTGCATTTACACTGAAGGAAGGAATACAATGCCCCCTCACCCTGCAGAAAACCAGCAGGTCATGCACTGAAAAATGTTGGAAGAGCCGCAGAGAAAGGGCAGAGATGAGTCAAACTGGCCAATCGGTGTCTGTCTCCCTGTCTCCGCTTTCTCTCCTGCCTGCATCAGCAGTGTATGTGGCCATTAGCTGGAGGGGGAAGTGGTTAGTCTTTCTCTTTTTTGCCACGGTTAGATTCTTTTTACTTCTGTGAAAGCTTACTTTCTGGGAGTACACTCTTAATCACAAGTGGTTCCCAGTATAGTGTTTTTACTTACATTTTGCTTGCGGTCATGCCTCCTTTGTAAAGCCAGTCACATGTCTGGCAGTGAGCCTTGTCCTCCTGAGTGGACCCTGGCCAGCCCTGCTTCTTGGCTTTGTCTGCCTCTTCTCCCCGCTTGGACCTGGAGTGGTCCTCCTTCCTTTACACTCTGCTAATTAAATCAAGTTCAACACTTGTTTTTTCCTTGTGCCGATTAATGTGCTAAGTGAAGCGGCTAAAATGTTGTTCCCCCGCCCTCCCCGATCCCTGGCAGGGCAAACCGTCTGCAGGAAAGCAAAATCTGAAATTCATGTCCAGGTTCTTATATCAAAACACACACAAAAGTGCCCTGCAGTGAAGTAATGTTTTATTTCTAAAAACACAAATAAATAAACCACCAAAGATTAGAACCCTAAATCTTCTAGAATTTAAAACAGATAAACAGTGGACCAGACCTAGAAGTCAATGATAGTCCCTTAGCCCTGTCTAGATTAGTCTCAAGTTTGAGACTAACCTAGACAGCTTAATGAGATGCTGTCTCAAAATAAAAAGGTCTGGGGATGTAGCTCAGTGGTAGAGTGGATTATGTAAAGTCAGTTGTGCAAGCATGGCTGAATGAGACCTTCCTTTGAAAGACGTTTATAGATTTTCCTATGAGTTATGTTCTTCCTTAGCACTATTGTCTCTTCACATTGGCCAGAGATATTTTCATCTCAGGCTGAAAAAGCACAATAGGAAAAGAACAGTATACAAGAGGGCCGGAGAATCCGCATGCAACCTGTGGGGTTTTGAGTTCTGTGCATACAGGTGTTTCATTAAGGGTTGAGCAGGATAAACTGATATGGTCCATGGTAAAATACAAGGGTCAGGAGTAGAAGGAAAGCCAGCTTTACTCACTTAACAGAAACTACTCTCCAGGAAGCGAGATAAAACTTGCACTCCTACCTTTATTTAAAACCCCTACTCTTTATGTACTGGTAGACACACACCCTTCTGTATTTAGGAGGAGGCTGGAGCTTGCTTTATGCATGATTCTCTTCTATGCCACATGACTGCTATTGGTGGATAACAGTTTGAGGAGTGTCTAATGATGGTAAAATCACAGGTTGTCTTCAGAAACCCAAGTATAATCCATGTATGTTATACCTATATGTGAAAGCATACCTGGGTTGGGGTATAGCTGATTGGTTCAGTGCTTATCTAGCACAGTTGGGGCCCTGGGTTTAATCCCTAGCATTGCAAAAATAAATAAATAAAGGGAACATGCCTCCTGTATATTTTGGTTTTAGAAATATAATTTGTTGCATCAGTTATTGAAACTAAATGGTCTTTCATTGTACTTGTGTTTTATAATCATGTACACAAATGAGTTTTATTAGGATCATTACTCCAGGTGATTTTTTTCAATCCTAAGCCTCATCAGCTCGCTCTCCAACACAGAAATGGAACTTTGCCAACTGTTGCTGCAGGCAGGATTTGCCCTCCACAGGACCTGAAAAGGCACTTCCTGGTCTCTGCTCCGCTGAGCCTCACAGGGCACTGAGCATGCAGGGCACTGAGGATTCTTGCCACCCAGCCAGCAGGTGGGAAATTCTATAATATTCAGTTATGCTTCTCTAAACCTCTTCAAAAGCCAGTCGTATACAGTGATCAGAATTAGATGAACAAAGAAATAATACATTTTTTCAACGAGAAAAGCTTAAGGAAATTGTATAGACACTTTTGAAAGTAAAAGGGGATGCTAACTAGATGATCTGATAGGACAAGAGGCCTAAGCCTAACTAAACATATGGCCACTCTCAGGATAGATGTACAGGAGAAAAACAGAATAAACCTTTTAAGAGATAATAAAGGAAATATTCTACATGGGCATAGCCTGCAATCCCAGCTACCCAGGAGAGTGTAGCAGGATAATCTCAAGTTTAAGGCTAACCTGGACAGCTTGGTGAGATGCTGTCTCAAAATAAAAAGGTCTGGGGATGTAGCTCAGTGGTAGAACACTTGCCTAGCATTCACAAAGTCTGGGTTCAATCTCCAGTATCAAAAAAGAAACGAGTAGAGTGCATGTCTCTCATGCACAAAGCCCTGGGTTCAGTCCCAGCACCACAGAAAGAAAAGGAAATATCCCAAAGATCTTGAAATAAGGAAGAATTAGAAAAAACCAAAGACACAGCAGGGCACAGTGACACTCGCCTATAATCCCAGCAGCTTGGGAGGCTGAGACAGGACTGTGAGTTCAAAGCCAGCTCAGCAACAGTGAGGCACTAAGCAACTCAGTGAGACCCTGTCTCCAAATAAATAAAGTACAAAAAAGGGCTGGGGATGTGGCTCAGTGGTTCAGTGCTCCTGAGTTCAACCCCTGCTCCCCACTGGAAAAAAAAAACAACAACAACACAAAAGGAACTAACCTTAAAGAAAAAAACAGATACATTCAACTACTTTAAAATCAAGAGCTTTTCTTTACAGACACCATTAAGAGGGGGAAAAGGTGAGCACAGAGTGAGAGAAGGTATTTGCAACACACAACCAACAAAGAGCTAGGATCCAGAACACAGGAAGAAGTGCAAATTGTGGGGAAAAGACCTACATGAAGTGGGGGGAGAAAAAGGCAAAGGACATCAAGAGGCATTTGGAAAAAAAGAAAAAAATAAATGGCCAATAAACACAGAAACTGCTCCTCCTCAGTAGTAAGCAGGGAAATGCTGTCACTGGGGAAATCAGTGACATCACCAAGAAAGGTGGAGGTGGGAGCTCCCTGAGGCCTTAACTGTACACACAGCAGAGAACATCAGGGAGTCCTTGGCAGCGCTGTTCCTAACAGCCCTGATGTGCATCCCCAGTGGGGTTGGTGGATAATTGTGATGTGGTCCTACAGTGGAATATTTTTGGTGACACAAAATGAATAGGGTACAACTAAATGTGACAACATGAATGATTCTTGAACATGTGCTAAACAAAACAAAAAAACAGTCTTTGTGATCTCATTTATATGTGAAGTTCAAAAACAGCAAGAACTTCATCATAATGGCTGAAGGTATGTGTTTGATGATGAAAAATAAGGTACCCAGGCAAAGTGTGCACTCCTGTAATCAGAGCCACTGGGGAGGCTGAGGCAGGAGGACCTAAGTTCAAGGCCAACCTCAGCAATTTAGCAAGACCTTGAGCAACTTAGTGAGACCCTTTCTCAAAATAAAAACTAAAAAGGACTGGGGATGTAGCTCAGTAGTAATGTCCCTGGATTCCATCCCTAGTACAAAAAAAAAAAAAAAAGAAAAGAAAAGAAAAGAAAGGATTAAGGCAAGGAAGTATTACCATAATGTTACCTTTGGAGTACCAAGGGGACATGTAGACCTGGGGGTGTTCCAATTCTTGACAGGGGTGATGATTATTTAAGTTTAAACTGATTCGCAACATTTATGTCCCCTACACACTTTGTATTATGTTTTACAATGAATTTTTTTTCTTTTTTCTTAAAAAGGACATGGTAAAAGCAGCTGTTTTTACATGATTTCACATGAATGACATGACTAATCCAGTACCATATCCAATTGCTTAAAATGCCTTGTCTTGAACAACCCAGAGAAAAGACAAGATAATGGGCCTTGGAGGGCCCTGGGGTGATGGTGACACCATCTCTTTCATACATAATTTGATTCAAAATATTTACATAAAACCAGACTGGAGGAAGCCGGAGACAGCCATTTGGAGCACGTTCTTTGGGCTGCGGACTCTGGAGTCTATCATGCTCGGCCACTCCGGTGCGGATGAAGCCGCTGGGGCCGAAGGGATGTCACTCCCTGGATAAGCTGCTCGGGTTTCACGTTCCGCCACCACCGATTCGTGTCCGGCCGTGGTGGTTTTCCGCGCAGGAACTGGACCCCTGGCTGGTAGACCCAATTTTTGGCCAAGACGGAACCGTACTCTCGGAAATGGAGTGGATGAGCCAGGCTTTGCTGAGGGTGGACCCAACCGACACCGGGGAACTAGTCGAAATCACCGTGTTTGGGCAGCCCGGCGTGAAGACTCGGGTAAAGAACATTCTCCAGAGCCTGGCAGTGTGGTTCCGAGAACTTTGTGACCAACGAGCTAAGAAGATAAAACGCCTTGAGGAGTTCTTGAAGGCTAGTTCACCATATCCAGAAACTATCCAGCATCCAGTTTAATACAAACAAGATGGCAATAATTAGACCAATGAGGACAGCCTGCTGAAGAGATGGAAGACAAGTATTCTTAAATCTCTACATTACTTTTTCCTGTGCCTTTTGAATAGTGGTTTATTTTGTGGTAAATGTATTTGTAGAACTATTCTAATGAAATTTGTCTGGAATAGTCTTTTCACGTGAAATAAAGCAAATTTACAAAAAAAAAAAAATATTTACATAAAACCAAATTATTAAATATTCTAAGCAGACATCTGTTTCATTCTCAGAAAGTTGAGCCAGGGGGCTGGGGCTGTAGCTCAGGGTTAGAGCTCTTGCCTAGATGTTCAGGGCTCTGGGTTCAATCCTTAGCACCTCAAAAAAATGGTTAGCCAAAGAGCTCACCCTATACCTAGGCAGACTGGGTAACTATTAGTCCCAGTGGACTTTCCCTATAGAGGAAGAAGGTAATTTGCCCAAGTCCCTACAGCTAGTCAGAGTTCATAGATTGTCAACCAAAACCCAGGAATCTGTGGTGATGGACATGGTGTGGTGCATAGAATCCACAGAAGGTTGCCAGCCAGGTCAAGAAACAGGAGCCGAGGACAGCTGAGAACTAACCACAGCTTCAGGCTTGGGCAGCAACAGCCTGATCAGGATGTCACATTGGTGCTGATGGTCATTGCCCCGCTGCCATCCCTCCACTCAGTCCTGGACCTTGGGTGCAATGACTTCCTAACTGTCCTTTTTGTTATTCACTGCAGCCCTGAAGTCATAGGCTTGAGTATCAGCTGGCCAACACCCAGTCCTCTGTCCTTATCTTGGGGTTGGGGGTTTGAGAGAGCAAGGGTCCTGTCTCTAATCACCCCTGTTTGTCTACACTTTGATACAGAACACTCTGAACACCAGATATGACCTTCCCCCACATCAGCCAATTCCCTGGCACCACAGGATGTCCTACATTCAATTTAATTCCAAGTTAATGTCAAATCTCACAAGCTAAAGGCCCAGTCCCACAAGACTGCCCCCACTTCAGATGCCATTTGCATGCCTGGGCCTCCCATACTTAGGACCAGATGGCTGTAAGTCAGCAGTTATTTGCTGGAATGACTCACAGAACTTAGGGAAACGCTTATTGTGAGAGGCGGTCGTGCTGAATGACCAGCATTTTCCTTCGTGTGATTGGTAGAGTCTCTGTCGGACACTTTCATAGTGATCTGGCCACATTTGTAGTGGCCCCAGACATTGCCCCGATGCTCGAAGTAGCAGAATGTGTCTTCATGCGTAGACATGCCTTCCTGCAGCCCCATGGATTGAGCTCTGCTCACCTGTTCCTTTGTGATATTACCCCTTGCCGTTTGGGATAGAATATTCTATGAAACGCCCTTTGTGTGTCCCCTTCTCTTGCTCTGCCTTTGAGTGTGGCCTTTCTTTCTGTGGACCCTTAAGGTCAGGGGAGCCCTCACAGGACCCCCAAAGAAAAACGTTTCTCTGACTCTTGTGTAATTATTTCATGCAGCCTAGTTCCCTGGAGTGAGCCTGAGTGTTTTTGTCACCAAGAATGCAACAACTTATTTTTGTTAATCAGTCCAAAACTCAGAAACTATAAAAGCAAAAGGATTTAATTTGGAGAGTTCTTAGGAATCGCAGTTTGGGAGACACAAATTCAGACAACTCTAAGTCAGTGAATAAGGCAGGAATGGAGGAGCTTATGTTGAGAACAAATTGGGCTTGTGACTGTTAGCCAATAAAGAAAAGAATATTGAGGGCTGGGGTTGTGGCTCAGCGGTAGAGCACTTGCCTGGCATGTGTGAGGCCCTGGGTTCAATCCTCAGGGAGATTATATATATATGAAATAAAGGGCCATTGGCAACTAAAAAAAAAAAAAAGAAAATAATATTGAAGCAAAATGGAAATGTCCATAAAATGAAAGTTTGATAACGTACGTGTGTGTGTGTGTGTGTGTGTTGCTGGGAACGGAACCTAGGGCCTTTTACATACTGGACAAGCACTGTACCACTGAGCTATACCCTGAGCCCCTGATATGAATCTTGAGTCTCCAGGCACAGTGTCATTGGTCTTTCCAGTCATTCCAGATGCCTGTGGTCAAAGGGTGAAGGTGACCAAAGGTCACATTCCTGGCAGCAGCCAAATCAGGGATAAGTCCTCCTTTGATGGCCTCTCCACTCTTGCTTTAAAAGATCTTTCAGTGATTTCCTCATAGTTCTCCTTTAATTTTTTTAATTCTCTCCTTTTGATCACAATCTTTTCAAAGAAAATGATCAATTGTGGGGAGCCATTCTCACACGTGACTGGGCAACTCCCGGATTGGGTGTGAGGCGCTCTGGCTAAACTGTGTCGGAGCTTTCCCGACCCTCTCCTGGGGTGAGAGCCTGTCCGTGTGGGGGTGTGACTGACCACTGACCCTGGGGCCAATCACTGACCCTGACCTTGGAGTGCTGCCCCCCTCAACCTTCATTGGATGGAATTCTCCCCTGAATTTCTTGTTCCCCAATAAAAGGCCACTCCCTGGCATGCTCTCTCTCTCTCTCTCCTGCTAGCCCTGAGTAATCCCTGCTGCCCTACCAGATAGTTCGAGGTGTGAGCCAGAGGGAGAGCCGTCTCGGACCTGGTCATAGAAAAAGGTAATTGAGTCTGTGTGTTTATTTGATCTCACTAGCTAACTTTTATGCCAAGAACCTCTTTAATGAAACCAGTGCGCTGGTCGCATGGTGGAAATCAATTTTTGGATTGTGTGTTGATTTTTATAGGTCTTGTCCCTTGGAGCTAGAAAGGCTCATTCCTAGAAACCCATCAGGGGAGGAAAGAGGTGATTGGATGGAGAGCCTGAGGCCACATAAAAGTAACAAAGAGGCAGTGGGAGCAGGGCTTGGGCAATACCTTGATATTCTTCATCAGAGCAGACAAGGAGGGTGATTAGTTCCACCCAGTCATCATGGAATCACCATTTTGGCAGGGGAGGTGGTTACACAATGTGTGGGATCTTACAGAAAACATTATAAAGAAAAGAGCAAGTCTTGTCAGCATTAGGTAATTTATAAAGAGAAGGATTTTACAGCCCGCTTCCCAAATCCTGGGAGAGCTGACTACATCCAGTGTCATCTGCTTTATTATTCCAGGACTGGTGAGCTATTGGCTGCGTGACTGGGTCTCTAGTGCCTTCAGTAGACTGTGTAGGTAGAGTCACTTACCTTTAAATGAGGAACATGAAACTGAGCCAAAATCTTTCAGTTTAGCAGCATAAGATGAGTTAATAATAGCCTTTTAATGAGAGTTGAAGTGCTTTTATGAAGATGGGGTTTCTAGCACAATAATTGCCAGGTTGAAGATTGTGTGCTAGTGTAACAAGATCTTTCTATAAGTTGTGAACTTAGTGACAACTTACTTTACCTGAAGCAGTAGGTCTGTTCACCTTTACCTGAAGCAGTAGGTTCATTTGTATCAGGGGTAATGCCTTACTCCAAAACAAAGTTTTCCAGTAGTTTAGCTCAATGAGTTTTTATGATTCCATCAGTCCGTTCCATCAATCCTAAGGACTGAAGTCGATAGGCACAATGGAAATGTTGGAATATGGGCCAGATTCGGCAAACTGAACACTTACTTGTCTAACAAAATAGATGCTCTGTTATTATGCAGCTCAGAGGTTCTCCCCAGAAAATGATAGTCTTTTGAAAGTAGTATTTTACTGACTGCCATGGCTGTGATCCTGTGCCAGGGGAAGGCTTCCACCAGGAAGGAGACATACAAGTCACAGTTATACATATTAATAACACAGTCACACAAATGCAACTACAAGAAGGCTAAGCATCCTTATTTGATAATGCTTCCTTGTAATTTAGGTCTAAAATATCACTTTTGGACTTCCAGTACTCATGGAAATCCCAAGGTTAGTTTTTGTTCAGAAAGGCTTCATTTTGAAATTTGATTTTGGAAACTTTGCCAAACACATCAAATTTACTTTTGTATCAGTGTATTATTAATAAAAATGCTAATTTTAATAGAACCTTATAAATAAATAGCTTGATCACCTAGATTTTAGTAAATCTTTTATATGCTTTTTACCTATTTATTTTTATCTCTTGATTTTTATTTATTCTGTTTTGTTTTTTTTTTTTTTTTTTGTACCAGGAATTTAACCTAGGAGTGCTTAACCACTGAGTCTTATCCCCAGCTCTTACTTTTTTTTTCTTTGAACCAGGGCCTTGTGCATGTGAGGCATCCCCCTGTTCTTTCTTTAAATTATTTTTTATTTCTAAACAGAGTCTCAGTGCTGAGGCTGGCCTTGAACTTTCAGTCTTTCTGCCTCAGCCTCTTGAGTCGCTGATATTACAGGTGGGCTTCTCCACGCCTAGCTCATCTCTTTATTTTGAAATGGTCTCCAAATTAGAGAAAATTGTTTTTATCTTAGTGAAAACTATATTCTGATGGCTTTCATTTAACATCTTGCCAAAAACATAGATATATTCGTATACAGAATTGTTTTTAGTAGTTTTACGTACATATATTACAGTTTTAATTTCTAGCAATTGTAAAACAGCATTCTGTACATTCACACTATTTTATAATTTCTAGAAATGTGTTTCCTTATAGAGCAATAGGACCTAACATACCCAAATATATTTAGGGTTTTTTTGTTTGTTTATTTGTTTGGGTTTTGTTGTTGTTGTTAAAATATTTTTTAATTGTAAATGGATCTTTTATTTATTTATTTATTTATTATTATTTATTTATATGCAGTGCTGAGGATTGAACCTAGGGCCTCACATATACCACGCAAATGCTGTATCACTGAGCCACAACTCCAGCCCCAAGATTTTAAATAGTATATAAAGACAGGGCTGGGGATATAGCTCAGCTCAGTTGGTAGAGTGCTTGCCTCGAATGCACAAAGCCCTGGGTTCGACTCCCAGCATCATCAAAAACAAAAACAAACAAACAAAAAAACACTATATAAAGACAAACTATCACAGTTATGTGGATTTTAAACTTATGCTTAATGACTTCTGTTTCCATATTTTGACTTATTTAGAAATGATCTTGATATTTAATAGGTATTTGTTATTTAACTTAGCAAAACTTAAAGATTAAAAAAACCTTGAAGTAAACATATTATAAAACAGTTCTTAAAAATACATTTGTATAGTGGCACAGTTCTGTAATCCCAGCAGCTCAGAAGGCTGAGGCAAGAGGATCGT